ATGCAGTTCTTTGGCTTCTGTCACCGGTTTGAACTCACGCACATCCTCCACACACCTGATTAAAAGCTTTCCTTAAATCTTTAGTTGTTAATTTTGAGAAACTATAACGAGTATGGTAGAATTTAAAAGAATCCAACCATCCCTTTCCCAATGAAAGCAGCTAGCAGCACTGGCTACAATTGTTGCTCAATCTAGTGAGAAAGTTAAGCTATAACAGCCAATATTTGTAGGCCTCCCTCTTAAAGCAAACGTCAAATTATCACTGAATTGTTTAGGTCAATTATAATTGACCAATACAATTCTAAAAGCTATCGTTTGTACCCATAGCTTCCAAGTCTGTGAAAGACTCTGGTCACACGCAATGAGAAGTAATTTGACTAAAGTCATGCCAAGCAATTTATACAAGATTTTTGTATTTCTTTGTCAGAGCAATGGATTTATTGAATGCTGTCAGGATGTAAAGTGTAATTTACACTAAGGCAAGACACTTAACCCCAAATAGCTCCTGATGGCGGGGCTAACAGTGTGTGTATGTCAGCCTCTGCCTCTGTATGAATGTGTGTGGTCGGCTAAATGCTGACCTGAATGTGTAAAAGTGATGTGATGTGTCACAAAGAATGGAAAAGCTCTGTATAAATGCAGACCATTAACGATTTAAAGAGGATTTCAACAAATATACCAAAATATGTTTTTTTACAGAAGGTTTCCACCCCTAGCTTTAATAGTTTTCATATACAGCATGAAAAACAGCCAAATGGGAAAATGTAGGTGTTAGGTATACAGACTGAAGCAATAGGTAATTTGCTAAATGGTCCATCCTTTTTGTCATTTTATCCTGATCACATATTTACATATGGGCTGATGTGGTCTGGACTGAGCGAGGTGAGGCGTGTGCTGGCTAGACAGTAATACCTTCCTGGAGCAGAGACGTGGACAGCTAGTGGACATGATGTGGTCAAAGAGAAACACACAAGCGCTCATTTCATGCTTCTCTGAATCTGGTTTTGTCACTTTCTTTTTATCGGTCTTCCTGCCTTCTGCCTGCTTCAGTAGGGAGAAGACAGCAGACGCCTGTCTCCTTCTATCCACTCAATGAATGCTGTAGCGTAGCCCATCCAACTGTGATAAGTAGCATCTCTGACTCTCACTGACACTTTTTAGAATATGCCTATAGTTGAAATGCGGTTTAAATGGTTAATCAAACTGAAGTTCATCTATAGTTCAAACCGAAGAGACGTGATGTAAGGAATACATATTTATTGTTTACACGTCATATGAATGAAATGATTGCCATGATAATACAAAAGGAGAATGGAATGGTGTTTGGCGATTAGGCCCCGGTTTGCAGGATAATCATTCAGGAGGGAAAGAACCGCTCCGATGAAATCCCCGGGGTCTAGACACTGGTGGTGGTGATGAGTAGGTGAGACCGGTCTGAAGAAGGAAGGTTTAGCTTTGTCCTGGAGGAGACGGGAGGCGAGAGGGGTGGAGGCGGGTTGCGTGTAGTCACCTGAAATGACAACTGACAGGGAGGAAGAGCAGGTATTTAAGGAATTTAACCTGTGCAGCAATTGGCTGCTGAGGGGTGACGCCCTCGTATTTAATGAGGGTGGAAGGGAGCAATAGAGTGACATGTAAGTGACTCATGTTAGGTCTTCCTTATTGAACTTGCGCTAAAGCTTTCATAAGTACATTTGCCCCCGTATCTGTGTTTTGAATAGGGCAATTCATCTTTATAACCTGTTCAAGTTAATTACTTTCCATCATACCTTATTGCTTTAATTGTTGCCTGGGAACAGATCTGAGTGCTGGCATGACCTTCGCCAGGGTTGCCAACTTTGGGTACCTGGCTGGAGTGAGATTTTGATATCATGGGTTTAATTACACATATGCGCACTAAATGACTGCTATCGTGTAAACAGCGGGACCTTAGCATATATAGGTTATATTATATATACAATATATACGAATACACAATATTGGACACAGACTATAAAGGGCACACAGTTTCATTCACTAATGAAAGTCAAACACATGTTTGTTTCCATTGTTTTATTGTGTGCCTGTCGCGATAAGCAATTAATTGACTTATCGTACGATAAATAAAAATGAACTCGATAAATTGCCATTTACATGAGGATGTGACTAGCAGTTTGAAAGGATGTACTTTGAATTATTATTATATATTATCATTAGGTCAGTGGTCTAAAATGGTCATACAACGGTGCCGATAATATTATCGTTAATCGCAATAATTTCCGTGAAAATGTATCCAACAAAATTAATTATCGTGAGAGTCCTATACATGAAACACACACACACAAATCTACAGACTTACTCCAAACCGCCAAATATATTAATGAACACACTCTCACTCTCATATACTCTTTGACTCTATTTTGGCCGAGTAGAACGATAAGCAGCAGACTTTTACTTTGTTATAATTTCTACTGGATCTTAGATCTGCGCATGCGCAATACGTGTCAGCTCCCACTGCTCTGCTGTCTGTTAACGTTGTTAAGAGTGGTGGGGGCGGGGAGGGAGCGGATCGACAGCTTGAGCAGCTGTCAACTCAAGATTGTAATTAACCAACCAAAAACGATCGCCGGTTCATCTTGTTTTTGGCGTGAGAATAGTTTGGGCAGCGTGAGAGCGTGACATTGAGAGTGAAAGCGTGTGTCACACGCCAGATGCGTGAGAGTTGGCAACCCTGCCTTCGCACAGGAAAACCATAAGCAGTAGGAGTCACCAGGATACAAATGTTGAAAGGTTTCAGTGAGTGCATGACTTTGGAGCTGGAAAGATGTTTTTGATGGGACTGTTAGTTCAGTGACCTGGTAATACAACTTAAGTGCTGAAGAAATTTGACGAATGATATCTCTTATAAGTAATTAATAACCCTGCTTTATTGTCAAATCAGTAGTTTGTTTATTTGTTTAATGTTTGCGTTGTGTAACATTGATATATGTTATTGCTGCTGTTACATATAGGTGAACCTGACACTTTGGATTATAAAACTGGTATTCTTTCAATACTCAATAGAAACAGATATTTTAATAAGATGTGAGCTTTTAATCAAACTGCACAGCCTATTAAAGAAACCCGTGTTCCAGAGTCCAGGAGGCTTTTAGGCTTTTAGAGGGAATACGTTGTAGTTTGATAGTTGTATCAAATTTCCCCCGGCATCAAATCATCCATCAGTTTAGGTGGAAATATGTGAAATTCATAAACTGAATTATCTGGCATCTAACCATATCTGCAGGGGGGGGGGGGGGGAATGACAAAGTCACCTGACAATGCACACCATACTCATAAGTAGTGCTGCGTACCTGGACTCACATTCAGGTTCAGGTCCGGACTCAAGTCCAGAGGTTCAGGTTCAGGTCCGGACTTATAAGTCCGGACCTGAACCCATGGCTTGTGTCAAGTTGTGTGAGTAACTAAAGTGAACTTATTGTGAGCTAATTATCAATTGAAAATTAACTCATAATCAACTCAAATTCAAACTCGTGAGGTTTATTGTGGTCCCTTCCAACTTGTGTCTACATTTCTCTACAAAGTACAAATGTAAAAAAAACACTTTTTGCCACTTAGTCTACAAATGACTTATGACAGCAACTACAGTAAACTACTACAAAGTTCAAACATTTATTTCATTTACCAAACTAAAGTAACCAAAACAGTCCCTGAGCTGACTGAGCCTAAATCCCTAAAACGTTGCTGAAAGGTAGAGTGTAGAGTAGACTATACGCATTACACTGTTACACACCTACTATACAGTATAGGCTACACTGTAGTGACTGACTGTACAGTCAAAGTGTACTGTACTGTCTGTACACCATGTCTTTTCTACAACTCTACATGTATACATTATACAGTACATACTACATACATAGTGATGTACATACATAGGCCTACTGTTAGAAATTAAAATCAATGTTGATATGGCGTAATTTTGAATTAAATACACTATTTAATTTAAATCAGTTTTATTCTGAAAAAAACGGAAATTCACACTATTAACTTAATACTTTTATTCTGAAAATTCTTCACTTCCGGTTAGCATTAGCATGTGGCGAAATGCTACGTTTTCAAACCGTGAATCGAAGGTGAAATGACATGTGATGTTGTACACTGAGCACACTGGGATTAGCACTCATGTATTGACGCTGAATAACGTTTATCAGGGAATGTTTAAATAACCACAGACACCAGAATAAACGTAAGTGCTAGTTTTTTTGCGAGTCCAAGTACCGGTTCCCGACGTTCCGGTTTTAACCGGATTTGAACCGAAACTTTTTACAAGTCCAGTACCGGTTCGGCGTACCGGTACGCAGCACTACTCATAAGCCACCGAATTTGTATTCAACTCCCCTGGATGCAGTTATTCAGGAACTTGTGTCAATAAGCTCTTAGTTCCTTATTTGTTCTTCACTCATTCTTTAGTAACTACTTACACATTACATGCAATGTACAGCACACTTACATGTAACTTAGCAACAATACAAGGATATAAATAGATTCCTTACTCTAGTCTGTAATACATTTATTACATTCCTAAAGAAATATTATACTGCTATATGTATTCACCAGATTTAAAACCTCAATAGTTACTTTTATTCAGATCATTTCTTAAAAGAAACATGAAGCAAGCGGGCTCAACAAGTTTGCCAGAAATATGTTTAGGGAAATCAAAGATAACTGAGTTAACAGTCACACATGTCAAGAATTTGCAAAGCAGATCAGAATCAGAAACGGGTTTATTACCAGGTAGGTTGGCACGTACGAGGAATTTGACTTGGTGTCGTGGTGCATACATAAAGGTAAAATAAAAATACATAGATAGATAGAGAACTATTTTAAAAAGACTATAATAACATTACAAATAAATAGCTGTCCCTCATCTTTAAGATGCCTTTCATTTAGAATGTGATGTTCCATTAATTTACTAAGGGGTTGGACCAAACCTTTATCAAACGTTTACAAAAAGTATTGATTGGCAATCAAACTCATTATGTTATCGTCATCAATAGTTAATAGGCCCCTATAGTATGTGACAGGTGAGGTTTGTGAATACCTGTTCAGCAGCCACGGCCCTGACAGAAGAGGGAGTTGTCAAAGGAGGCGGGGCCGCAAACACCATTTAAATGAACTGAGTCGGGAGTGCACTAACTCTGGATTTAACACGGCAGAGGCAGAAACATCATTACATCGGGAAACTACAAGTCCTTTTCTCACATAAAGGTGTCCAGCAACAAAACCAAAGTTTGAGTCATGTGTGGTAAGTGTCCTTTTTTAATCGACTTTATAGAAAACTTGTTGGAAGTGACTTTGAAATTCTTTACACACCAACATTTCCTGACAGTCTCTTGCTCTGCCAAGTTAGACCGATGCAATGCGTTAAAAGCGAGGAATTCCCAACGTTATCATATGATACAACTGTTCTCTTGTGTTTATCATAATCTTTTAAAACTATTTCTGAGCTGAAATAGCGGGATAAGTGCTCTAGCTGTTTATTCACGTGTGGGTTTTTCAGAACGCAGCTGCGACGTGTCAGTATTTTTGACAAGCAGGTCATTCCAGTTACTGTCAAACGCACAGAAGTGAGGTATGAGGTTATGATGTGGCGTTACTGAACAGCGGTTTACATCCAGCCTCCAGAACCTTAAGTCGAACCATCAGCGGTATTGCACACTTGGATATACTTTCCAGCAGTTTACAGCCCAAAGTAAATCTTTAACAGCACGTCGCCCTCTCCTGATCTGCAAGGAAGAGGCCAAGGCCGAGGGAGTGAACAGCAGCCTGCCTACCTGGCTGCTCCAACACTGCGCGCAATGTGCGGCCGTCAATGGCCAGCTGTGTGCTGAGGGAGCAGAGCTGCCCGGAACATTCCCTGACACACACACACACACACACACACACACACACACACACACACACACACACACACACACACACACACACACACACACACACACACACACACACACACACACACACACACACGTCTCATACTGTGTCCATGCTGTGGACACAGTTGTTTCATTGAATATAATGATGCATCAGCTTGACTAACTCATGTAATTCAATAAAATGAGATGCCATTCATGCTTCCCCTATGCAGCCAGTTCTTGTCCTTCCCAAGCTTAAACGTTTTTGGTGAATAAATATTGACTATAAAAAGTAACACAGCTGGAATCCTTGATCAGTAGTGTTTTTCCTAAATCTTATCTTAGTGGATATTGGTGTCATCTCACAACTTATTGCAGCTTTTTGTTCAGATAAATACATTGTGAATTTAACCTAAATGTCTTTATAATGAACTCAAAAGATGCCGTTGTTTGCAGCCCTGTAAACTCTGCCTATGGCTTCAGAGGGTTTAAGTTCTGTCTCTCTTTCTCCCTCTCTCAAAGGGATCTTTGCCTACCTGAATTACCAAGTGCCTCGCACCAGAAAGGAGATATTTGAGACGCTGGTGAAGGGACTGCAGAGACTGGAGTACAGAGGGTACGATTCAGCAGGTAAGACACTCGGCTGACCCGTGTTGCCACACACACACACACACACACACACACACATCCGCATGCACAAAAGCTTATAGACAGTACTCCTTGGTAGCACCTGTGTGTCATGTCTTAAAAAAATGAAATCTTTGCTAATTCAGAAGCACAATCTGCCTGTATAATGATTTGGAGTAAACACTATTCACGTTACTATAGCAGTAAAAATATATAGTCTCATATACTTGATGAACACTGAGAGGAAAGAAGCACACATTGATTATTTGAATCAGATTCTACTTCACATATTTCTACATTTCATGCAAATACACAATCCTAATGATCTTGAAAGAAAGGTAGCAACACAGGTACAACAGGTGAAGTGTCTTCGAAACTTTTGGTATAAAATATTTTAGCTACCACTACTCCTTAGAAATGTTCAGTAACATCTAACTCAGAGGCCGTTTCTCAATGTCGAGTAAAGCTGCTCCAGAGCCACTATTTTAAGCATCGAGTGGCGCAGAATCACTGTGTGAGCCACCAAACAAGCCTCCTCGACCTTGAGAAACACCCCGAGCCTCCTGCCACCCGGACATTTGATTGTGTTCAAACACATCCACACCTTGTGTTTGTTCATCTTATTTGTTTAAGATGATGCCGCATAACTAAAGCTCCTTTCATGGCTGTTAGAATCGCGTCATACACACACACTGAAAAAACTGAAACGTTTACTTTATTTAGATATGTCAACAGATGTCACATAACTGTATGAGGTTAGTTGAAAGCAATATTATTAGGTTATATTAGGTTCAACTTAATATTATGGCAGCACGCACACAGACACACGCTCACAATCCAATCCAACTTTATTGATATAGCACATTTAAAAACAACAGAGTTGACCAAAGGGATGTACATCAATAAATATATAAAAAGCAGCATAAATACATTTAGACAAAACCGATAGGGAAAATAAAACCCTACTTATAGCCACAGACTGAAAAACTGTCATACACGATTCAAAAACAATATACAACAATAGAAAACCCCAATTTAAAAGCACAATAAGTAATACCACTTACTACCATGTTAAATCCTATCTCACTATTCATAACCTATCTATCCCCTTTCTATAAAAGCATTAGCTTTCACCCAAAATCACACTTGAGTACACTTTGAATCGTAATGCTAAGTGCTTTTCTTACCGCACTATGAATCAACTAAACCCCCCTCCTGTCTGTTTGCAGGTGTTGCTGTGGATGGCCCAAACCAAAACACCATCTGCTTGATCAAGAAGACGGGGAAGGTGAAGGCCCTGGATGAAGAGCTTTGCAGTGGGTTCATTCACCTTTGATTCAGATTTCTCATGAAATGTGATTGCTCAGTATTTCCAATTTGATATACCCATAATATTATCTGCGTACCATTTAAAAAGGGTTTTGAAATACTACGTTCCCCCTACTTTGAATATCTTGCTTTGCATTTTTCCGTCATTGAAGGGCACTGCAGTCTGTTCATGTCAGTGAAGGGATGTGTTGTGTTTTGTTTGTTCAGAGAAAGACTTACTTGACCTGGATGAGAAGCTGTTCACACACTTTGGCATCGCTCACACTCGCTGGGCCACACACGGAGAGCCGAGCGAGGTTAACAGCCACCCTCATCGTTCTGACAAGGAAAACGGTAATATGATATAATGTACTTTCATGCATGCTTACATACAGATCACGTTTTGAATCACTTGATTGGCATCCAGTAATAATAGCTTATACATCTTGACTGATCATTCAAACTAAAGGCCAAGATGCTAGAAACGCTAATTAAACAAACCCTCAAACGATTTATGTTTTAATGATGGCTACATCCATCTTTTTATCATAGGTGTGTCAATAATGTATCTTGACTTTGGATCATGGTATGTGTTCTTATTGAAGTCCAAAGAGTCAGTGAATATTAAAATAAAGGAGAAGCACTGTTAACTTGCGTTTGCATATCAGTGGGGTTAACCGATACATTGTATTTGTCATCGATCAACTTTTGTTTACATGTCATTTAACTTATCATCCGAAGTTGTCTAACTGTCACTTTACCGGTCTTTGCCCTGTCACACCTTTTGCTGAACTGTTTGCTCTCACTTACTTTTCTTAGAGTTTGTCGTCATCCACAACGGCATCATCACCAACTACAAAGAGCTGAAGGCCTACCTGGTAAGTTACTTAATCATCAGGAATTTCTTTTGTCAAAACAAGCTTCAATTCAATGCAGTGTCATTAAAGTTTTAACAAGATTATACCATGTGACAATGTTTGGCATGTTGGTCTGTGTACAGGTTAGACAAGTATGTGTGGCTGTATATTATCAACTATTTGTATTCAGCTGATCTATAAAACATCCTTGTTTTGTTTTGTTTTAAATAACCCCAGATGTCAGCTGAGACAACTGTATTCAGTATTAATAATTCATTAAGTATTGACTCGTTGCCGCATTATAAAAGTCAAACCTGGTTGAATAAACAAAATAATGTTGCCTAGCAATACTTTTGTTGATGGGCAGAAACAATTGAGTTATTAATAGCTGAACAAATCTTTTAAAAATAGAATAGCTTTGTTGCTGACATTACGAATGAGATATAATTAATTTAGCAAATCAAATATTGATGAAAGTTCTTGGAAATGCTCTCAACTGGTGAATTGAGAACATTTCCACAAATTGAAGTAGCTAGTTTGCAGACAACAATCCTAACAGACACCAACACAAGTGTAACTAGGATGCTAAGCCAACATTTTTGTAGTTCGAACAAAATATCAGTTTTCCATCAGAATGTAAAGGTATGGATCTCCTCATTAAAACTCTAAGCTATTATTGATGTTTGATAGTTTCTTTATATCCAGGCCTACACCATAACAAGTGACAACAATGAAAGATTCAGATGGAATTTGACTGACTGTATATTTATGTTTTTGTGTAAATTAAAATAATCTGTACTTTCCTCAGATCAACAAAGGATATGAGTTTGAGTCGGAGACGGACACAGAGGTGATCCCGAAATTGATCAAATATGTTTACGACAACAGAGAGAATGAGGACATCGGGTTCTCCACCCTTGTAGAGAGGGTCATTCAGCAGCTGGTGAGTAACTCACACATAGCAACTCATAACCATAACACTGACTGCTACCAAGCCACACAAACATGTGTTCACCTTTACAGAAGCACAGTTTCTATTTAGCATGCTAATCTTTTTTTGTTGTTAAGTCACTTCAAGATATCAAGGTTTGCTAGTGTGTTCTTCTGCCACTCAGCAGTGAAGGGGTGTAACTCAATTTGATTCTAAACTTGCACTTAAGTACACTTTTGGCATACATACTTTTCTTAAGTGATAAAAACAGAATCAACAACCTTTTTAAAGGAGCAATCCTGCTTCATAAGAACTTTTAATTTTGATACTTAAGTGCATGTTCATGACAATTCTTCTGTACTTTTACTAAAGTAACATTTAACACATATATCTGTAAGAGACCATTGTTGGATGATGGTATTTCTACTTTACTTAATTAAAGGATCTGAGTACTTCTTCCACTACTGCCAGGACACACACGAACACAAACTAATTTACTGATTTTACAATGTAAACTTGAATTTCTTGTCCAGTAAACCGCTGCACACCATCACAAAAACAGTCTCTATAGCAACCGCCGTAACAGCATCACGAGCAACGTCATCTCGAGTGACATCATCACTTATAGAGACAGATGTTTTTTGGGTGAGATGGAGCGAGCCTCTCTTTTCCATCGTGTGACTTTCATGCTCCAGAGCTTCACACTTTTGGTCGGAGTTGGTTCTCTCTCCTCAGTAGGACAGAGGAGGCCAAATCAGCCATTTTGGATTTGCACTAATGGGAACCAGACAGTTCGACCCACCAACAGCGTCAGCACCACGACCCCCTCCCCCTCATCTCCCCGTCTTATCCCCCCCCATTTCAACACCGCACACACGCTGAGCCAATTCTGCTCCAAACCCCCGCAGGCAGCATTGCAGTTACTGCTTTCGAAACACAGCTGATGTTAAACAACGAGGTCTTATTTCGATTAATACAAATCACCCCCCCCCCCTGTACACCACTACTTACCACACTCACGCCCCCCACCCCCAAAACCACTGCCAAACCCCACAGGGTCTAAAGAAACATTTGTTTGTGTCCCGAAAATGTATCTCTTCAAAGTCAAAGTTAACAGAAAAACACAACTACCTTTACATTGTTTTAATATTTAGAACTGTTTCTCTTCATGCTCTTCAACGTTGGTGTATTTCAGTGTTTCATGAAGCTAATGTAAACTCTGCTGTGTTTCCTCTGCCTCTTTTTGTCTCAGGAGGGGGCCTTCGCTCTGGTGTTTAAAAGCCGTCATTTCCCCAGAGAGGCAGTTTGCACCAGGTTGGTACCACACACACACACACACACACACCACACACACACACACACACACACACACACACACACACACACACACACACACACACACACACACACACACACACACACTTTTTAACAATTTGGTCCAGTGTGTGTACAAAGAGCCAGACTCATGGGAGAGGAGTCATTCTTGTTATTGCAACTCTGAAGCAATCCCAATTTTGAATTGTGGGAGATTTTGATTCAGTCATTGTGGCTTATCTTTGCCAACATCCATTTCATGGCATTAGTTTATGAAGCTGGACCTGTGTTGCTTAATTATTATGGACAGTAGAAATGTTTTCTGTATGTGTGTGTGAATGTGTGTTAGTTCCCGTCTGCCTGCATGTGTCAGTACAATCTGCATCTTAAGACCCAGGCAGAGACAGGCAGCAGAGCTGAGGTTTAACTCCCTCCTGGGCCTCTGGCCTCTGGACTGCTGCCTCTACGCAGGCTTCTCTCTGTGACTCATTAACGGAGAGATTCAAGAGTTTCCTGTTTCTGCTGCCGGGAAATTACCCTGCCACAAAGACTCATAGTTAATCACTTCACATAATTTTTTCATTACTTTATACCTTTCCTGGTTCAGTGGGCAGTCATGGATCAGGGGAAAGGCAGATCGCTGGGGCGGGGAGTGAGAGTGGAAAGAGGGCAACAGGATGAAAGTGGGTCTCGTGTTTTCTGCGGGCAGGTTGCCTAGCAGTGCCGATACCTGCTATTTGGCCCACCTGCAGCTTAGTACACTTTGGCATCTCATCTGTCTATTGTTTGCCTGTAGTTTCTGAAGCAAAGATATCAGTGTATTGCACAGCTTTGGCTAACACAATGCATGTTGTGCGGTTCAAATGTTGAATAGTCAGCTTTGTCTCCCAGGACGGAGGGATGAGGGAATGTTTGTAATTATCTAGTGATGCTAGTCACCACCCCACCCTTTGTCGTTAATCTTCCTGTAAAACTTTCACTCTCTTCTTCTCAGCTTCTCTTCCTTTAACTCTCTATGTATTGTTCATCCTTTCTCTTTCTTTCCATCTGTTTTTCTCTTACTCCTTTATTTTCTTTCATCCCACAGCGTCTCTTCTTTCCGTCACTCCCTCCCTAAGGGTGAAATATATTGTATTGGATAGCGACCACATGTTTCTGTTTGCAAGCCTTCCCTATTCAAGCCCCACACCCATTAAAACAACCGACGGTCTTGCGTCAGTGTTGCCGCGCCCCAGAGAACAGCCGAGCAGAAATCATAGAGAGGTCCAGACGTAGAAAGACAAGAAACAAGGAGAGGCTCTTTGGACAGGGTTTCTCAAGGATTTGTGTCATAAGTTACTCGCCATGAAGAGGGTTGTTAAGATTTACTGTTTGAACTCTGGTCACAATTATAAGTGTGTTCGTGGGTTCCATCTATTTCATAGTTAGTCTTGTCACGCCCTACTCCTTCACCTGTTAAATCCATTTGGTCACACCTTCTCTGCCTCCACAGCCAATAGGAGAAGCCCACATGGAGTCAATGAGGAAGTATAGTGACTGTCCAGGAAATGTGAGCAAATTCAAGAGGATAGAGACGAACTGAGGATCAGTTTACCTGTCTTATGTGTGGGATTATGACGTTTAGAAGAGATCCGGAATAAGTAGGGGGATGTCTGAGACTGGGACAAACGCAACCTAGGATTGAGTAAAGAAAGATCAAAAACTAAGGCTGTAACAAGGAAGACAAAGTCAGGGATCAGGGTAAAACAGTAGTGATCAAGAGGAGCAGTTTTGTTTGAATAATAAAGCACAATAGGAAGTCCGGGTTAAAATCATTCATACTTTTACAAAGCACCATGCAACAGTGTATGTATCTGATGTTGTGCTGAATGTGCAAAACCCTAATCATCTTCTTTCTCTCACTCTCCATCTCTACCTATCTTCCTCTTTGCCTGCCTCATTCTTGTCCTGACAGGAGAGGAAGTCCGTTACTCATTGGTGTGCGAAGCGAGTATGAGCTGTCAACTGAAGACATCCCCATCCAGTACAACAATGGTGAGCTCTGTTCCTGTCTCCATTTGTCTTTTTATCCACTTACAATGCACCCTAAATCTCTGAATGCTCACACACAGACATAGGTAGAAACATACTGTAGAGAGAGTTTTCTAAATGTATCAGCATACTTCATTTATAATCGGTTTAGTACATTTGGAAATAAACACATTTTCTTACACAGCAAATAAGTATAATTAGAACATATAGACTTAAATCCAGACCGACCACTCATACAGGAAGTTGTGAAATACTACATCGAAAAGGAACCTTTTTTAAACAACTGAATAACTTTATCACTATTCTTAAATGTATCACTTCATATGATTGAAAAATTAGAGAAACCATTGCTTTATTCACTTTTCACATTGTCTGGTTTTTAAAAGGATAAAGCAGGCAAAGACACATTGTGCTATTTCTCAACACTGTCTGACTGCTGCCTTTCAACTCACAGCCCCATTTATTCTTACTGAAGTTGTTGGTCTTGAAATTGGTGATTATTTATTTTCATTTATTTTTTAAAGAGAGTTAACGATTTCCTAAAACAGCTGGGCAGTGTTGTTTAGAGCCACCTCAAAGAGGAGTAAATGTTAGTAGGGGACTATTTTCAGCCAGCTGGACGGTGCATGTGGAATCGACTCCAAATAAACTACGCTGCCCGTGTTTATTGTAAAGAAGGAACATCCCAGTTCAACAGTGTGGCTCATTGACGTGTTTTTAATAGCTTTTGGGCAGTGGTGTTGCTTTATTGCCCAAATGGAGAGTTACATCAGGCTTTGGCTGCAGAGAGACGTGTCAGTTTGTTTTGTTCTTTTTATGAAAACTTCAGATTTATACAGGTCTGCAGAAAGAAGCGTTGTACAGTAGCGCCAAAACATGTATCCTATCAAGGGAGATTGTTCTCGTTTCCTTCTCCTTGAAAGACTGCGTATAGTTTATTTGTTCTTACTTTTTTTTCAGGAAGTATGCTGACAAACACCACAAGTGACGCTTTTGGCTAACTTAGAAGTAGTACAAGATGTTTTGTAGCTCTGTTATTCATTGTGCAATAATTATGTTTAAAAACCTTCTTAGAAATCAATTTCCCTTAAAGGTTGCCAGTAATTTGTTTGTGTAGTGTCAGAGGGTAGTGGTCCTTTCAAAACTCATGTGGGTACTGCATAAAGAATGTCGTTTCAATCCTAGAGTTAGCAGAAATTAAGAGAGTTAAAGACAGAGTTTCTTTTGTAATCTCTCAGATAGGCTTGTTACAAAAATAATCTGTCAACGATTATAACAAAATTATACATTTGCAACAACCCCTCACTGTCTTATCTACTCAATATAGCTTGAGGGTTCAAGCGAGAGTCTGAGTACAAAGTCCAAGGGGGGGTGTGTCCTTTTAATGGTGGAAAAAACCTTTCAATTTGATTTGTCCCACATTCTTCAGTTAACATGATTACTGATTTCACTACGAATCTTATTTAAAAAGTTAAGTTGTTTAAACAACATATTAAATTAGCGCATCTATTAGAGCATTACTCTTTTCTTCTCTTTTTTGTATTTCACGACATGACAAACCTATTTAGAAGTTGAGAGAAGGAATTCAAGTGATGAGCACATCTTGATTGTTTTAGTCACTCAAATTCACTGCAACCTCTGACCTCTGTCTTTTGACCTTGTAGCTCTCTTCAAGGAGGGAGTCCAGGAGAAGAACAGCCATAATCGTGCTGACTGCTCCAGCGACATCGACTCAGTGGGAGATGGCCGAGCTGTGGAGTATTACTTTGCCTCTGACGCCAGGTGGGATACTAATATTGATGCAATTAGTCAAATCATTGAATTCTTATCTGTCATGTGATTATAATATGTTGTGTATTCTCACATGTCTCTCTCTTCCATAAAGTATTTATGACGAAAGATAGTTCAGGACCCTTTATAATCACTAGACTAAACGACATCTTCATGTATTGGTCTTCTCTCTCTCGTCACAGTGCCATCATTGAGCACACCAACAAGGTGTTGTACCTGGAGGATGATGACATGGCGGTGGTCTCCGAGGGGAAACTCTCCATCCATAGGTTGAAACGGAAGGTCAATGAGAATCCAGTGAGGGCAATCCAGACCCTGCAAATGGAGCTGCAACAGATCATGAAAGGTCAGACAACGGACACAAAGACTTGAATGATTGCATGAGTGAATGAATGCATTTATAACAGGAAACAGATGTGTCAAAACACTGTTTAGCCTAAAGAATCTATCCTCCCAACTTCAATCATACCCAGGAAACATTGTCACAGCAGGAGGTGTGCGCCTCATCTTGGTTATCTAGTCCAAACAACCCAATGCCTTCAGCCTCGAGCCTGCGTCAAGAAAACTGAGACACAACATTTTATAACCTTTCCTGATAACACAGGGTGGGACAAAAAGTAAGGGAAAGATTAGTGACGGTTCACTCCAACGCTGCAGAAACACAAAACAATTCTTTTTTTATACAGAAAAGTACTTTCTCTACTTCCAGTACTCTGACAACATGCATGCAGTGCTACTGACCCGTTCTAATTTGTAGACCAATACTTGCTCGCCCTCTACTGGCTGAGAGGGAAAACAGCAAAGACCCTCCCATGTGCCTCTGTTTTCTGTCTTGTCTCTTGGGGACATTCTGCATGCCCTCATTATGTCACAATGAGTGACCAGATCATTTGAATTACATATGTGCTCCTTTTTTGCAGGTAACTTTGATGCCTTCATGCAGAAGGAGATCTTTGAGCAGCCAGAGTCAGTCTTCAACACAATGAGAGGACGGATTTGTTTCGACACCAACACAGGTGACTAGAGATCTTGCCATCCCGCCCTGCCTTTTTGTAAACATAATACATTTACAGGTCCCGGATCCCTTTTGTCAATATTGGCAGGCACTCCTTCAGGATGCAGGATCTGCAGTATATCCTTCTTCTTATTGGTCTTTGAACGTGGAATCCTTTGAAAGAGGGTAACCAGAGAGTGAAGCATATATTTTCCCTTATTTACATTTTACTAATGTAACTTTCCATCCATTTCCCCAGTGATCCTCGGTGGGCTGAAGGATCACCTGAAAGAAATAAAACGCTGCAGGCGGCTCATTGTGATTGGCTGCGGCACTAGCTTCCACGCTGCTGTGGCTGTGAGTAGAACAATCTAAAATGATGATAAGCGTGACAACGATCATTCACTAATAAAAGTTCAACAAAAAATAAGATGATGCATGATGATTATATGATGATGATTTCAGACAAGACAGATCCTGGAGGAGCTGACGGAGCTGTCTGTCATGGTGGAGCTGGCAAGCGACTTCCTGGACCGCAACACGCCAGTCTTTAGAGACGACGTTTGCTTCTTCATCAGCCAGTCAGGTAAAAATAAAAATATTTGTATGTCTGTCACTTTGCTTCTAAGACAAATCTGACCATGAAACTGTCTTGTCATTTGAAATCGATTGACAATTCTCTCATCTTTTTGTGTTTTAACCAAACAGTGGCATTGTAGTTCTGTAATTCTGCATTAAAAGCATTTCTGTATTTATTCCCTCTGCTCCTTTAGGAGAAACAGCAGACACCCTGATGGCACTTCGATACTGCAAGGGTCAAGGTGGTCTGACAGTCGGTGTAACCAACACTGTGGGCAGCTCCATTTGTAGAGAAACAGACTGTGGAGTCCACATCAATGCTGGGCCGGAGATAGGAGTGGCTAGCACCAAGGTATAATTTATACATGCATCCCATTGGTTTATGAAACCTTTGTCAGAATCTGGCAACAACAACTCTCTTTAAATGCTGCATTATATACACATTTCCGTGTTATTTGTTATATATGCCACAATGTTCAGCATGACTTGGGGTTGAATGTGTGTCTGTTGTGTATGTGATTCAGGCCTACACCAGTCAGTTTGTGGCCCTCGTCATGTTTGGTCTGATGATGAGCGAGGACAGGCTCTCCCTCCAGCAACGAAGACTGGACATCATCAACGGCCTCAAGATGCTACCCGGTCAGTCCCAAATAAATATGTTAATGTCGCAAAGCCTTCACAGTCTCAACATGTCACAACAAATAATTCATCATAACAATGGCATTGCAATATCTATTTAATACCATTTTTATCTTGTAACTTTCAAAAATAATATCACCCTCAAAATCCGAGTGTAGAGAGGCGAGAGAGAGAGTCTGAATAGATAACAACATATTAATGTTAAAAGAGGTGTTGGATTATTAACATGATATGTGTATTATGAACTTGAATTGCAGATAGACAGATGATGTAAATACTACATTTAAAATGTTTATTAAGTAGAGTTACACTGTGTAACTTTACTTAACTTACAAAAGTGTTATCAGTTAAATGTACTCAAACTAAGTACTCGGTATGCAGAATGTCATTTTGTTATAGTAGTTTGTAAATCTGCCAATTTGAGGTACTTTTACAAAATACTGGGTTGACAGTACTTAATCGTATCATACAAGCATTTAATGTGTTGTTAGAAGTAACTAGTAACTATTAGTGTTAAATACATGTTGTGAAGTAAACAGTCCAATATTTGCCACTGAAATGTTGAAATGTAGACGCAGGGCCGTTTCTAGCTTTTTGGGGGCCCTATGCAAGATGCTGTTCGGGGCCCTAGTTTTGACAGTTTTTCAACTACAATGGGGGGGATTCCGAAGCCTTTAAGATGATCTGTGGAGATGCATCAATCTGTTACACTTTAATAGGAAAACAGGCTAATTTCACGAAAACCAAGCAATTGAAAATGACAAAAAATGATATTAAAAAGGTAAACAATAAGGCTCCTCTATGTCAATAAATGCAAGAGATGCAGCATTTTCTCAGCTGTCAGCCCAACGATGATTTGGACTTTATTACCCCAAAAACCCAAGCCACAGCTTTGCTATCATTGCAGTTTAGTCGTGTTTATATCCTACATTGGATTTGTAAGCATATAATGCTTCACCGAACACTCACAGGAGGGGGCTTGGCTGTCTACAAATAAAGACGGCTCATTTTAATTCTCCCCAAATATATTGAGGCTGAACCTGAACTTTGAATTCTCTGCTCCCATCATAATCTTGGCGATCTTGTTAAAATTGTGAATGCAGAATTAAAAATACTATGTAACTGGTTTGCAGTTAATAAATTATCCCTTAATGTGGCCAAAACAAATGACATGTTATTCAATACAAAGTCTGAGAGTAGAAATGACTGCATTATACAGATTTGCAATACAGAGATAGAAAAAGTTGGTGCATGTACATTTTTAGGACTGCTTGTTGACGAAAAACTCAATTGGAAGCACTATATAAATTATGTACAGACTAAACTGTCAAAAACAATAGGTATTTTGTATCATACTAAGAATATTCTTGAATAAAATATACTCTTTATAACGTATAAAGAGTCTATTTCTCCCTTACCTTTAATACTGCTCCGAAATATGGGGAAATACATACTCAACAAATCTACAAAAAATAATAACATCCCAAAAAAAAGTATTACGAATAGTCTGTGGTGTTGGTAAATATGAACACACAACTCCCATATTTAAAAAAACTCAATCTATTAAAATGTGTTGACATAGTACAGCTTAAAACAGTACTGATTATGCACAACATTTTCCATAACAAAATGCCTAATAACATTCAAAAGCAGTTCCAAACCACAGCATGAACATATGAATGTAAAAAAAGTCACTTGAAAATAAGTGTTCACAATGTTTATATGCAATTATGCATATATTATTATTATTATTATTATTATTATTATTATTATTATTCATTTGCCAAGTGCCTATGCATATATTTTAATTTTCAAAAAAAGATAGTTGAAACTGCTATTGACATGTGCAGAAAATGACCCTATATCTAGTTTTCGTATATATGTATGCATTTATTGTTTTCCTGCCCTAACTTTTATTTTATTTTTTCTCCTGTTTTCTTTATTTTTTTGTACTCCTTAATTTCTATATGTTTTTGACGCAATAATGCCGCTGTATTAGGATGATGCACAGGAGGGCTACTTTCCACAAGCTATGCTTCAGTACTCCCACTTCTACTAATTTTGTTCATCTTTGTGTGTATGAATTAAACTTTTTTTGTTTTTCGGATGAATAAAAAAAAAAAAAATACTTTCAGCTTGGGGGCCCCCTAGTGGCCGCGGGGGCCCTATGTCCCTGCATAGTCCGCACATAGGAAGAAACGGCCCTGTGTAGACGTATAAAGTACAAACATGTCAGAATTGTAAAATATGGTACTTAGTTGTTGCATAATTTACATGATATGTGTATTTTGAACTTGAAATGTAGACAGACAGATGATGAACCATGTTTGACCAACACTGACAAATCAAGCTAATAAAATGCTGCATTGTTTGTTTAAAACATGTCCTCTTAATCTCACTGTTACCATAACACTTCCATCTCCCCATCATAATCCTCCAGACCTGATAAAGCAGGTGTTGGCTCTGGATAAAAAGATCAAGGCCATCGCTGACGAACTGTATCAGCAGAAGTCTCTTCTGGTCATGGGCCGAGGTTACCACTACGCCACCTGCCTCGAAGGGGCACTGGTGAGTTGAGAATGCCACAGTAGACAAATACTGCAGTTACCTATACTAACATAATGAAGCAAAGTAGAAACCTCAGATTACACATCAGCAGAGTTGTTGGAAGTACTTAGATCAATTATTTTAAATTCTCCATTACAGTTGAAAACACTACATTTCAAATGTTTCTTAAGTAGAGTTACACAAGTGTTATCAGCTAGATGTACTCAAAGTAATTACTCAGTATGCAGAATGGCATTCTATTATTGTAGATTGTAAATGTTCCAATTTGAGGTACTTTGATAAAATACGTTGGGTAGTACAGTACTTAATCATAGCATACAAGCATTTAATGTGTTGTAAGAAGTAACTATTGAACGTTAAATACATGTTGTGATGTAAACAGTACAATATTTGCCCCTGAAATGTTGAGATGTAGAAGTATAAAGTACAAATATGTCAGAATAGTCAAATATGGTACTTAGTTCCTTTCCAGCATTGCATAGCAGAGTTGAAGTGTCTGTATGTTATTGTTCAGGATATCATTCTAAAATAGTTGTGTTCTTTTCACTCTCATGCAGAAAATCAAGGAGATCACCTACATGCACTCGGAGGGCATCCTGGCCGGGGAGCTGAAGCACGGCCCTCTGGCACTTATCGACAAAGACATGCCGGTCATCATGATCATAATGAAAGACTCCTGCTACACAAAGTGCCAGAACGCTCTGGAACAAGTCACTGCCAGATCGGTAGGTCCTGATAAAACGCATATTACTGTAACCCGTAAGCACTGAAGCACACACATTTCACTGTTCTGAGTGCTTTGAAGGTAGCTAAATTAGTTGACTGACATTCTTGACCTTGACTCTCTCTCCATCAGGGTCGGCCCATCATCCTTTGCTGCAAGGACGACACTGATATTTGTAAGAATGCCTACCACACCCTCGAGTTGCCTCAAACTGTGGACTGTCTGCAGGGCATCCTCACCGTCATACCCCTGCAGCTCCTGTCCTTCCACCTGGCCGTGCTGCGAGGATATGACGTAAGTGGTCAACACAATTTTCTATTCAAGCTTTACATAAAAAAATCACGCTGAATTTGAAAAATAGTCACCTTAACTTGCTTTAACATTAGTTTTGAGCAATAAAGTGTTGCTTTTTATCTAGCGTATTGTTTGTATGCTAATGTGATCACTGAATTGAGCCCCAGAAATGAAGGATCATCAAACAAACAATGACAAATTAGTTCATTATCATGTGAATTTTGAAAAGGTCAGTCACTAGTAACATGTCAATACCATGCAGTGAAAATTATAGCGATGATTGCACATGAAAGATGTAGGGCTTTTTTGTAAAAGTGCTTCTGTTTTATTGATTTGCAAATGGCTTTGATAACTCTGTAGTTCAGATACATGAGGTGTTCTTCAGATTTATGTTGTTAATTTAGCAATAATTATGAATATCAGCGTATACATTGTTATGCCAGGTTTGTTACCATGGCTGGATTTGTCTTTGTTTTAAAATGTATGGAAGGTTTGGTTTTACATTCTGATAATCTCGTTCTCACCTTTCATTGCTCTCATCATTTGGGATAATGTCTTGACGTAATTTACACTAGGGCTATCCCGATTACCATTTTTCGGGCTCCGGATATTCGGTAGGCCTAGTAATCAGCAGCGAATATTCGGATATTCGGCCCGCGCTGGGGGGTGGGGTGCGTAATCAGCAGCGAACCGCTTCAACACGTGTATTTCGGTTTATTTACAGCATTCATTTTGTTATTCTACAGTAGCCTATTGTTATTTTATAGTTATTTGTTAATGTATATAACCCAATTTGTGTTTTTTGAAATTGAAAAGGATATTGCATTGTGTTTGTTACTTTCGTTGCAGTTGTATGTCTGACTCTTAAGTGTAATTTGGCTTGGCTTCCTATTTTGTATGGACATGCTTTTATTTTGAAGGACAGTTAGCGCTGTTGACAGGAAGTTGTTATTGCTATGGAAACAACGTGACGGAGATTAACGGAGAAAAGTCATATCTAATTCTACATGTCATATAAAGACGGAGAAAGTAAACGATAACGTTTATGGTTAAGTGTTAGCACCCCTGAAGAGGCACAAGCTCTTACGTTGATATTGGATATTTCAGTGCAACGCGGCTGCCGGAAAAAACGAAAAAAAAAAAATATCCGAATAACGAAATTGAAACCCGAATAGTAGGCTACTCCAACGAATGAATATTCGGATATTCGGGTACAGCCCTAGTTTACACAGTTGACATGTGTAATCAGTTCTTATCACGAGGACAAGAACTTGCCTTTGACTCAGACATCAATATTTACATTGTGTTTTTATAATTTGTGCTTATCTGTCCTTTGTACCATCATTTGTTCTCCACCTTTTCTAGCTTGTCAATTTCTTTTAAAGGTCACCTATGATGCAAAATCCACTTTTCCATGTCTTTTATACATAAACATGTGTCCACTCTGTGTAAAGAGATGATGAAAGTTTCAGGAAAAAAGATTCGCTCACTTTCTGTCCTGATCCATTTATATAAAAACCTCTCTGAAAATGAGCTGGTCAGATTTTGGCCACTTTATGATGTCATAACGTTTTACCTTATCACCTGAATCTCCTCCTAGAGCACCATAGTGTTCTTTTTAACCAGATATCTCTCAGAGGGGCGTGGGGAGGGGCTCCTTATTTTCATCTAAAGTAACAGACAGAGAATCAGCACTTTTGAAACAGGCCTGAAACGGAGGGGTTTATGGGATGCTACAATGCATGATGTGTTTGGTATTTTGAGCCAAACCCTTCAGAGATATGCTTTGTATATATCTGAGAACTATAATATATTGATGAAGAACAGTATAATAGGGGACCTTTAACGTAAAAGATAACTTTATGTTTTCTAGTTAATAATCAGCAACAGCACGTAATGTGATTCAACACAATCACGGTTGAGGTTATCAGCTCTAACAAACTGCTTTCTATTTTTGCAGGTTGACTTTCCCCGAAACTTGGCCAAATCTGTGACTGTGGAATAATTACAGTTCACAAAGCACAGGAGAGCGCAAAGGAGGCTCATCGATATACAGTGCAGTTGTGCAGTGTGTGTGTGTGTGTGTGTGTGTGTGTGTGTGTGTGTGTGTGTGTGTGTGTGGTGTGTGTGTGTGGTTGTTAGTGTGATGTGTTGTGTGTGGGTGTGGGTGTGTGTGTGTGTTGTGTGTGTAGTGTGTGTGTGTGTGTGTGTGTGTTGTGTGTGTGTGTGTGTGTGTGTGTGTTGTGGTGTGTGTGTGTGGAATACAATGATTTTTAAAAGAAGAGTAATGGAAGTCAGACCAAGACACTGACTGAGGATTGCACTAGTGCCATTGATTGTCTTCACAGAACAATCTATGAACACACCATTCACACCACCACAAAGCAACCATCCTATGCTGTGCCTTTTTGTTATCTCGAGATGAGCCTAAACACTTCCTGAAAAATCAATAATATGGTATATTGAAGTGTTTCCAGTTGTGACAATATGAGGACCAAATGTGCATTATGCTATGAACACAATCATGCTTGACGTGGTTTATTCTCTTTTTGTTTAAGAATTTCTAATGTCTATCGGTGTGACTTACCTCTCTTTATGTAATGGGAAATGAAGTATTAAACATTTTTATTCCAGTGAGTTTTTTAAATTATAAAAATCTGTTTTTTCATATATAAATAAATATTTTACTGCACATTTATGCCAAAACTGTGCCTTTGAGCCATTATCCCATAATTGCAATATTGTTAACAGATACTACTAGAAGAAAATTCCATATCAATCTGACTTTCACATTATACTTGATTATTTTATTATGTTTCTGCCCCATTTTGTTTGTTATTATATTTTAAATATATATATTGTATGTTCGTTTATTCAGTGTAAAAGGATTGCCAGTTCCAAAGTCAGTTCAAGGTACAACATTAACCTTTTTTCATGACTCATCTTTCATTTTCATCGGTTGGAACATCTCTGTAGACAAACCTGAACATAATTTAAACTTTCATCAGCAAATAAATTATACCTTGACCTTTAATAATACTTTTGTTTGAATGGGCTTATAATTATTGTAATATTCTGTATTTATCTGATTTATATTTTATATGGGCTTAAGAAAGTGTTTGATTAATATCTTTCACTGTAATTGTATTTTCTATGGTATGTTTTAAAGAGAAAAGCAGGCATTTCATAAAAAGGTAAAGGATTATTTTCAAAGTCTGCCGCTGTTTTGTCTTTTTTCCTTGACCCAGTGTTTCTTCTTTCAAGTAATATAATAGTGATGCTATTATTACTCCAACATAAGCATACAATGTCAATTATTATTCATTTAAATAAATAAAGTGATTCAGCCCGACAGAGATGAAAGTTTACAGAAATATGTGTATTTTAAGACCTCTTCTCTTTTACAACTGCTGGATATGTGAGTAACTAATTATAGTAGTATTTGGAATGCCTTTAATTGTGCATCAATACATTGGTGACATTCAATATGAGTGCATACTTTTGAAGTACTTTTCACTACACATTTAGCCAAAGTTACATATTTTAAGATCTGATTTTTACATCTCATATACAGCATCTTCAATTATACATAATGAGGCATAAATGAGTAGAATAAACTGTTAGTGTAATAATCAGACTATTGACTGTTCTACAATACCATTATGAATGCAGGACTTGACTGTGATTGAGTTTTAACCTAACTCATGAACATGATCTGATTACTTGTTACACCACCGATAATGACGACATGTTATCGATAACATCCGTTCCAAAAAGTTTTTTTCCACAAAGTTTTCGAGGAGAAAAAAAAGAAGTTTGCACCCACGTAAATAAATGCGCGATGACGTCACCCGCATGCTCGCTCGGTGCTTGTTGTGGCGTCGCCTTCCTCCTCACCGTCCCTCCGTGCTGCTGCCGCTGGAGTTAGCTGGGAACCGGGGAGGCTCTATCTGTCGTGACAGTCCCTTTTCCTAAACTTTTCCGGGTCTAGGTTGTGTCTGAAGGACGGAGAGAGGGTTGTGTCTGTGTTTTCGATGCATGGGAGTGCCCTGGGAGCGGCGAAGGGAGAAGGTAGGTCTGCTGCCGCCTCCTCCGCTGTCCTCTGGTCCGTCAGAGCTCTTGGTCCAGCCCGGCCCGACTACCGCATTGCCTCCAAGAGAAGTGAAAACCCGGGGAGTGTAGGCCTCGGTAACTTTGTAACCGACCAAAGGCACCGTGATTTTAACCGGTGTTTATGCTGGTTTGAATAGGGTTGTGTGAACCGATCATTCCTGGCTGTGTGAAACCAGAGTGCCAGCTGTGCTGCGGTGTGTCATACACGGTGACTTCATACCTTTGTGTGTGTGTGTCGGTGTGTATTTTAGAGTAGGCGTGCTGCGTGTGGATATTTTTTGAAATTCTCAGTTTTAAAACTGGGTTATGCTGTAATAACACAAGGTTGGCAGTAGACATAGCTTACCAATAGACCTGCGGTGATTTAACTACATTCATTCAAATGAATGACATGTATATAGGCCAAGTATGCACAGGTTATGTGACCAATACCATACTTTGCCATGAAAATAGGTGAGTTATTGTCTTAGGCATGAGCCATATTTCTAATTTTCCATGGTATGTCATAGGCAAGTTTCAGCCTGTCAACAAATCAGGCACACAAATAATGTGTCAAAAATCTGAAGCATGTCAAAGCACATTTTGGGCCGAAGGGGGGATCATACACAGAGTACAAACACATGAAAGGATTACAAGATTGATTTGACAGCAACACATGTGATACTGACATACATTTCCCATCCCTTCATGTTTAGCATCCTCTTTGAGAGACTGGTCTTGCACTCAGCAGACCTCTCTTGTGCAGCAGCAGCAGCATGGCTGTAGATGTACCCGCCCCTGTGTGTTTTGTAACCCTGCCACATGAGGATGAGATGCTGAGTCTTCAGGCCATGCTAATCTAAAATCATAGCCAGCTCACTGACTCCCATCCAGCTCCCAACTGAGCGCCAAGGCCACATCACACCCCAAGGCTCACTGGACTGAGCTGGACAGTAGTCATGGTGAGCTGGGCTGAGGATGGTGAAGGTCACTTCTCTCATCAACTCCTTCATAAGAGAAACATCCAAATAGGGGAAAAAATCATGCCTTACTGAAGATTCAAGGCTTTTATTGTCATTTGTGCATAGCTACAGTGTAGTTATGACAATCTTAGGTCACAGGCTCCTCCAACAGTGCAACGAAATAAAATAGTGCAATAGAATATAGTAGAAATTGTGCAAAATAGTCTATATACAAGTAATTGGAATATTGATATAGATAAGTTGAAAACAGATGAATGTTATGGATGTTCTTTCAAAAGTATAACTATACATTTGAAGGATCAAAGAAAAGGGAAATGCTTGCCTGCCATCTTCACATTCATATCATTCTAAATCATAAAAGAAAACCTTGAGAATTGAAGAAATCTGCAAGGATTGCATTGTTTAGCAATTGGAGGGCGAACACTTCTCATCAGTAAAAACAATATTGTCTATAATATATACCTATAAAGCCATACATGTACATCCTCTGAATCCACCCTGTCTCTTGTTTGTCGTTAAGTGTCATAAGACTGATTAATGTAAAGGTCACAAAGGACAATTGTATACAATAAATGACACATGAGCTTCATTCAGCCTTCCAGGTGTATCCGATGTCTGAATGTTCGAGACTGTTTAGGGACCCCAGCATGGAGAAGGATTACATTTTTAATGATACGTTTTTTCATTAATGTATTTCTCTAGTGATTTTACTGCTATGATCACACCTCTGCTAAATATGTCATCGATATAATAATTTGGCTTGTTTATTCTTTCTGTCTGTATATCTTAATCTACCTGCAAAGGCCTTGATTTCCCTTTCATCTCCAATAACTCACTCCCCTTTTGAATTTGAACAAATTCCTCAATGGCTGCTGGCCATAGCTATAACAGGTTTCATCTGCTGTCTGTCTGGCTGCATAAGCTTACATGCCATTTTCACCTCACTTCAGTTGTCCCCTGTCAGTGTCTATATATCTATGCTGAGTCAACTCTACATTTAGCCTAGTCGTGCCGTGCTTGGCGGTAAGTGAAGGATTGCACACTGTGGCTGCTGCAGCTAAAATGGCTTTTGGTTATGATGAATGCCCTCTTTATAGTGTTCTGTAGCTTGAAACATTAGGCAGACAGATACTGAAGAAAAATATCAGAATGCCACTTTTAGCCATGGCATCGTCCAAGCTGAAGGGAAAGGTTTCGCAGGATATTTAATGCACAAGGTGTTCAAGTGTTGTGGGGAATTTGTGTCAAGGAAAACTTACATTATATTATAATTTAGCACAGCCAGAGCCTTGGCATGTTGTCTACTGCCCCAAAAAGCTCAGCTATGAAATAAAATGTTCATCAAAAATATATTGTACGTATCTGTCAGTACCCCACTATCTTTAATTGAGGCCAGAGGGAGGATGGGAGAAGGAGTACAGAAGTGAGGGAATCTCAGAAGCATAAAATAACAACAAGGAACCGGAAAGATTGAGAGAAATGAAAGAGATTTGCAGCACTCCCCTTAGGTGTAGTGAGAGCCAGCTGGTCGTATGTCAGAAGGAGGAGAAAACGCCGGGGAGGCAGAGGAAGAAAGAAGACAGAGATGAGAAGGATGCATTTTTCATCTGAGTAATGGTGTGGTTGCAAAACCAACACTCTATCTGATCTGAAGCCATTTTTCTTTTCGATGTTGGTTTATTTCTGAAGCAACATAGACAAAAGACACAATGGCGTGTTCATGAGGGATTTAAAATCCTGGGCTTGGAACTGAAACAAACCATTCAGAACAAACGAACATAAGAAATAAACGAAACAAAAACTCAAGATGACAACCAGACACTCCGTGGGATTATATGGCACAAACAAATGAAGTCATAAACACGGTGGGAAATACCCCAACGAAACAAAGTATTTTTAACATTGTTTTCTTCCTATCTAAATTGCATTCATTTATATATACAACACAGTGGAATGACAATAATGTACAGAATAAATATGATTTATTTAAAAAAACTCTGAATCCTGGAACTGTATAAAATAAATGACATAAACGTATCCATTTATGGAAAAAGTGTATGAACCAGGGAAACAATTAGTATGATTATTTGCTTCATAAAATATCAGAATAAAAGAGTTAAAGTAAAACATGTAATACTTTTATGATTATTTATTCACCAGTCATTACAGCCACCCTTAATAATACCAATGATAATAATGTTAAGTGCTAGTGTTTGTTTCGTCGCTGCCTGTCAAACAAGCAAGGCTAAAATATCATTCTCCATGAACCTGTGGCTGTTTCCTGAGGGAATAGCACACAGCCGTGACTGCTTGCTGTTGCATAGCTACACAATTGATGTGCCCACACAAACGCACACACTCACACAAACCATGGCCAAGAATAATACTCCTCCACTTCCTGCCTTAAGGAATCAATGTTAACGTTGATATTCTTTTTTGATAAACACACATTAGCATGTGCCCATCAGACTGTACAAACACTTGTGACGCTGAATGCATATCGAAGAACAATAAACATGCCTGAACCTAATGCTGCTTGAATCAGTGTGTGTGTGTGTTGTGTTTACTGAGTGTGTCAGCATGAGTTTAGACATGGCAGCGAGAGCCTCGGGTACACCAAGCTGTCAGCTGCCTCTGTTCTCAACGACACACACCAAAACATTACCAGCCTCGGCTTCAGCTCCAATCCTCTGTTAGCGTTGTCAGATGAGCAAACTGAGGGCGGATAGGCTGCTTGGCTTTAGGACTGGGCTGAAAATGGAGGAAGTGATGCCAGATTCTGACAGATGGGACCATATTAGGGGATAAGAAGGTTTCCAGATCATTTTGTATAATTACCTCTCCACACTCAGAACTCTGCTAAAACGTATTCTGCGCAATTATATAGAGACAAATGACTTTGTTTTAGCTTAAAGTCTCTCCTTCTGTGTGGCTGTTAATCTGATGTTTCCCCTCTATGTGTTTTGATGCCCCCCCCCCCCCCCCCCCCCCCCGCAGACAGTGCTGGTGGTCCTGACTGTTCGGCAGGATGAGTGAGGCGGACGGTCAGTTCTACAGCGTCCAGGTGGGGGACTCCACCTTCACTGTGCTCAAGCGCTACGAGCAGCTCCGCGCCATCGGCTCCGGGGCCCAGGGCATCGTA